CTGGGAGGAGAGGTGGTGGGTCTGGCGGTAGCGGTGGTCTGTGAACATGACAAGCCTTGGCCATGAGTGGGAGGGCAGAGAGGAGCAAGGCCTGACCTTCAAGGGCGGCAGAGGACCCAGCTCGCAGCAGCCAGGAAAGGGGAGGGGCGCCCACCCAAGGCACGCGAGGCCCTTGGGGAGAAACATGACACCTCTGCTCCTTGCCCCTCAGGTCGTTCAGCAGAAATAAAAGAAGCTTAATTACTTTTAAAACTTTGGCTGATGCTTTTATATTTAAATGTTAACCAGGAAGAAAGCCAGATCCTTGACATTAAAATGAGCTGTGCCCTCCGAGCAGGGAAACGTCCGAGGTCACCCAGGACTTGAAGGGCTCTGCGTCATCAGGGCCCCAGCACCCTCCTCCCTGCTCGCCTGTCTCCACTGGTTTTCACGGTTTCAGGGCTTTTAGATCAAAACTGTGGAAAGATTGTCGCGAGCCATGAAGTTCTGGGGTTTGGTTTGAGATCACAGGTAGGAAACAAGGGAGGGGAGGCTGCAGTACCTGGAAAGAGGGCGGCCCTGCACGGTCCCCAGCTGCTCCCTATTCCCAGCACTCCTGTGATGCTAACGCAGACCGAGCCGCCAGCGCAGAGACAGAAACCACTCCCATCCGCGGAGGCTGCGCTGCCCGCCAGGCCCCGTTCTCAGAGCTGGTCCACCACCCTCCCGGCAGCCCTCAGAGGCAGGGAGTCCCAGCACCCGCACTGCACCGAGAGTCAGGAAGGTGCAGTCACAGCTGAGGTCAACTGCAGGCGCCTGCGCAGGCGTGGACACCGCGGCCGGGCCAGCGCCTGAGTCCTTGACCGCCATTCCAGGAAGGAGACCAGTAGGGCCTGAGTCCCCGTCGGACGCCCCGCAGCAAGATCCCACCTGTCCGTAGCAGGTACCTGACGCCTTTTCTTGGTCATCAGGGGCACGGACACCTGGAGAGACACGAGGTGGCCTGGGGGTGCTCTGCTAGCATGTGGCCCTCCTGGCTCCTGCATGGGGACGGGGTGCAGAGAAGCCTCCTCTTTGTAAAGTAGGGAACGGACTCCCAGTCAGCCCGCACTCATGGGAAGGACCTCAGGGGAAGTCCAGACTCCTTGGCGACGTGGGTGTGGGTGCCCAAGGGCGAGGAGGGAGTGGAGCCGTCCTGCCACCGGGTCGGGGTGTAAGCCCTGTGCTGGCCGTGGACCAAGTTACCGCCGGGCTGAGGCCACAGGAGTAAATGCCGCTTCCCTCCCTCTGAAAGCTGGGTGGGCTCCACTCAGTGCTGAGGGGCAGGCCTAGCTCCTCAACTTTGACAGGATGGAACCCTTGGTCCAGGGCTGGGAGGAGAGGCTGAGAGGGTGGGGCTGCAGCCTCAGCGTCCAGCGTGAGGGCACATGTGTTCATGCGTCCATTCAACAAACGTCCACTCCTACCTAGGGCTGTGCACGTGGCCGTGACCAAGACACAGCCCCTCCCCGAGGAGCTCACAGGCCAGGACCCCGATGGCAGCCTTGGCATCCCCCAAGCGCCAAGGAAGGCCTTTAGCAGCCCCAGGTACCCGGGAAGACGCCCCATAGGGGGCGACCTTGAGCAAAGGGTGAGGGAGAAGTGAAGCCTGAACAACCTCGCCCACTCCCCGGCACCCCCATCGCCACGTCGCCCACAAGCACACCACCCACCCCCCAGGCGCACTCATGGCTGGGACCTGGGACTCCTGGGCACGCCAGGGCTCCCGCCTCTCTGCCTTCGCACACTGTTTCCTCTGCCAGGAGAGGCCTCCTGTCCCCCTGCACCTGTCAGATGGGACAGGACGTGAGGGCAACATTTATTTTCATTTCTTTTTAAAACTCTGTATTGGAGTGTAATGTCCATTTATCATAAGTGAGCAACTCAGTGAATTTTCACAAAGCAAACGCTCCCATGTAACAAGCACCCAGATGAAGAGACAGGACCTGCCACCACCCACACCCCCCCCAGGCCCCTTCCAGCCACC